TTTTATTCTCGCTTCAAAAATGCTTACTTGTCATGAAGTGGGTACTCTTCTAATGACACTATTAAACTCATCATCTCTCAAGAACAAAAACAAACTAAATGAATTTCGAAATAATTATACAATGAATGGTGTTGTATTTAAAAGCAAAGAAACTTTATTTAAATAAACTACTTACATTTGAAACTACCTTCAGATTTTTCATAGTGTTAAAGGGTTACTAAAACTTTGATCATCATACTCTTAGTAAAAGTTATTCGAGGTTAAGTAAGTTGAAATTATAAGCTTTAAAAATTATTTGCTGAATTTCATGATTCAAATGGTATGCTTTCAAATATAATAATCAATAATTTTATATTATATAGCCAGTTTCAATAAATGCGATACATAAAAGTTAGAAGTAAATTTATTAAAATAATACGTCCAATAAAACGTTTCACATTGTTTATATAATTTTCAGTTTCAATAAATTATATCTTATATACACTTATCTTATATCTTATGTATCCTTCGGGAACGTGACTTTGAAAATATGTGGCTTATTTCCCACCAAAATTCTAATTCTGTATAAATTCTTATAAAATTGTAATTTAAGAAAATGTAGTACTCATTGATCGATCATTTATTACATACTATTCGAATGTTCTACTAAAACATATTTTAAATTACTAACTATTAAAACATTATGTATGCATGGTAATAAATAAGCTCTATTTCTTGGCTCTATTTCTGTAAAGCGACAAGAATATATTAATGTAAGATGAGAATTTGAAACAGGCTTATATATTCTTTAATATAAAACGGGACCTAGTAAATTTGCATTATATGCAAATTATAATCTTCTTTTAATAAAAATAGACTCTATGATGTAAAATTTTATCAAGTATCTTACGACTGACGTGAGCTTTCTCTAGTTTGAAGATGTTTTTTTTAACAAAAAAAGATTTAATAATAATGGCAATGTGAAAAATGTACACATTTATACCTCAACAAAAAGTACGATAACGCTAAATAAACGTTACATAAACTAAGCACAATAGTTGGGGTTAGAATATGCATGATTTATGCGAATAAGAAGAGTAGGCTATTCAAAGTTTTTTCTCCACTTCGTTTGGAGATAAATGTGTATTATTGTGATTCTGATGGTCTGCTGTTGAATAAAAGAAAGACAAATGCTCATAGACTACAATTTGTTACCGATTTCAGCGTTACATTCTCTGGTCTGACTGATATTTTTATGTCCCCGATGAATTGTCAATGTTTTCCAAACGTTCCGTGTGGTCGAAAACGCCTTATCTATATTTATGTTCAAAAAATATTATTATTTCTCTACTGTAGTCATTTTTTGGTTTTTACGATTACAATTATTTATTTTTTCGGAGTGTTTGTCGAATTCTCGTAAGTATTTTTTAGTACAACCGACAATGAATGATGACCAAACTACGATAATCTTCATTTATTTTCATATCGATTAACAGTATAAACATAGTAAAATTGGTAAACTTATGTTAATCTAGTTTTTTGTAAAGTGATTTTTCCTTTTAGCTTGAAATATATTGCAACTTGGTAACCTTAAAATCACTTTACTTCAAGTGTTATTTCTTTTAGTCGCATTATATGCAAATCATATACAACGACGATTAAATGTCACTGAAAATCGATTGGTTTGGTTGGTTGCCAAAATGTTATAAAAAATATTAAATTTGATATCTTACTGATGTTCATATTATATAATATGCTTTTTACGTGCATTTCAGAACGCAGTCAATATTATTCTAAACGTAAAACTTGGCCAAGGACTTTGAAATCGATTAGAGAACAATTGAGTCGAGCACATTTGTCATCGAAATTATATTACCATATCGACCACAAAAAACAATTTGATTCTGTTTGTGAATTCTGCGTGTATTTAGTAGCTTATATTGAAATTCCCGGGATATGTTTATGTATCTTTAACTAAATTAAGTGAGTTATTACATTAAAACTTCATATTGCCCATTAGATAATTCATAAAATAGGCATTACGCAGAAGGAGATTTTGTCAAATTTACTACTGAAACTCTAAACTGTATTAAATTGAATAGATTCTTCTGAGAAATTTGAAAACTTTCTACTAATAAAACAATATTTATTTTAGGAATTTAGTAAACAAACTGCTTCTTATAACTGTAAAGAGCAACATTTTCTTATTTTTAAATCACTTAAAAAAATATATAAATTTATCTTGGGTTATTTATTAAAACAATATTGTTTTTAATTAAAATGATCATTCATTACTCCGTTGTTGGCTGTTAGATTTAATTTATTTTGATTATTTATTAAAAGTAACATTGTCTACTTGCATTGTTTGCTTTTAAATTTAATATGACCACCCTAGTAATTACTCGGTCAACAAAATATTTTGTCATTTTTTTGCTTATCATTTTTTTTAATATTTCATATGGACCAAAAATTGACTCTTTATTATTGTTAACATTTTCATAAAATATGTTTTAAAACAGTTAATTACATTCATATTTACTTACAATAAAGTGATTTTTTTAGTAAAATAAAATGTTAATAATTAGTTAAAATAAAATAAAGTAAAAATAAAATTAGTTAAGGTTTTTATATAAATATATATCTGGCTAAATTATTCGTATTTTTTCTAACATAAAAATGTATTTATGGTATTCGAAAATTTCTTACATAATTAATATTTATTTCAGCAAATTTATTTAAAAAAAAAATACCTTAAAGTTCTTAGTAAAATATAGTATTTGATTATCTTTAAGATATTACTAAAGGTGGATTTAGAATTATTTTATAAGTGGTATTAAAATAAATGATTAAGCTGCAACCTAATAAAGCTTTTTTACTGTAGTTTTATTTTTTCTGCTCATAACTGTTTTGTAGCATTATAGGCTACTACAGCTCACTAGTATCCACCGCTAGATGCACTACTAGGTATTATAAATAATTGCCTAATATTTATGTCATCATTATTATCAAGAAACGCCTATAAAAATTGTATAGATAGAATTCCTTTTTGTTATACCACTGACACTGTATGTATTAAATTAGAAACTCAGTTAATTGATTCTATCTTAGAAAGTGATAAGTAACTTAACATAATCTTAAGATAATATGATATTACGCACATGAATGTAATCTGTTATCATACGGTTATGTGATGTCATTTATGTCTTAGTAAAATATTATTTTTACCCTTTTGACGTTCAACTTTGTTAAGCTAAATACCTCTTGTTCATTTTGACTAAGTGAAAGGTGTAAGATATTATAACTAACAAGCCTTAAAATCCCAAAACGCGACAGGTAATTTGTTCTTATCCTTTATTTTCTTTATTACTTCCACACTGGTGTAATGTTTTGAAGCATCTACGTGACGTTTAAGCTGTTTTCCATTACAAAACATCACCCGGTTAAAATAAGAGGAAAATTTTTTGTCATAAAGCATTTGTAAATTTAAATTTGCAAATTCAAATACAGACATATTTTACATGAGAAAAACCTTTTTAAACCTAATTTATAGGTATTGAAAAAAGTAAATCTAACTTTTTTGTACGATTTGAAACGGCTTTAAAGTTTTTATCGTTAATATGTACGCCAGTATTTTAAAACTAAAATATTTAGCTATTTGGTGCATAAAATTTATGTATCATGCAATTATATAAAATGTTAAATTATAAACGTTTTTTCTTTTTCAAAAAAGTATGTATTACAAATAAAAATGTGATTGTGTGTATTATACATATATATGTAAGACCATCCCGAAACTAAAAATATAGAGAGTGAACAATTTTATATTGTTTGATCTTTTTTTAATAGTTATTTTTTGATATCATCTTCTTATATTAAAAATTTGCGAATTAATACGACTAAATTTTACCAAGTAGGGAGGTAATAATTCCTCGCCCTCGTCTCTCATGTATATTATACTATGTTAATTACTAATATTATATTTAATATATTATTTTATTTAAGTTATTATTAGTTATATAGGAGGGCAACATGTTAATAACAATAAGATAAAAATAATATAGGTAACGTCAATAATATTTTTTGGCGCCTTTATCTTAGTGTAAAAATGTATACGACTTAATTAATTTACGTTAAATTTAACAAAATTATTCAAATCACATTTACATTTGTTATATAGTACTACTATCATAATACTTATGATAATAATAATTATAATCGTGATGGCATAAATATAAATAAAAGATTTGATTAATATCCCCAAAATCTGCTGTTCAACTGCCACCGTAATACACATCAAGTTGGCAGCTATTTTAATTTATGAATGAGATAAAATAAAAGGACAAAAGCCAAAAAAAAAATTAAAAAAACAGAATAAAATATGTTCATTATGTTACATGAAAATATAATGATGTCAGGTATTGAATTTCACCGGGGTAGATGACTCCGTTAATCGTTTTTCACAACACAACTACAAGTGATTATAAGTTTAAACACATATTTTGTCACCCTATTATTACAAACAGGAGATATTTACACAAAAAATCTAAAAATACATTTATTGTTTTAATCATGGTATTCTTGTAAATAACATGATTATTAAAATTCAATTATTAAGTTAGATTTAGGCTGTAACAAACTTGAAAAATTATAGTTTTATTATGTTGAATTTTTGAGTTATTTTCAATTTACAAATGTTATAATTTTTGAAACACTATTAAATAAACATTTATAAGTATTAAACTATCTAATTAAAAAACAAGTGAAACAACACAATAAAAATATATGAAAGCGTTTTGTTTATTTTGAAAGATGATTTAATATGAATGTAATAAAAATATTGAATTAATCTTTTATATTTGTTCATTCCTAGTCATAAATATTATTAATTTTGGTTAAGTAAATAACGTAGTTTGTTTCATTAAGATCAATTTCTACGTATTTTTATGGAGTTATTTATTTGTTCTACAGATTCTCAAATGTTCATGTAATAATAATAATGTTATCTCAATTTTTTTTTTCAGATATTTACGGAAGCAAGTGGTTAATTGACACAAGTAAAACGATTTGAAAGATATTGTCACAGAATTATCAAATTGCTAAAAATAAACATTTTGGCGAAGACCGTTGCTATCAACCCGCCCGCTCTTCTCAGTTTAATTATAATTTATAATATAATAAGTGCCTGCATTGTGGCGGCAGTTTACGGTGACCGTGATTTACGGGTCCCTGGGTTGTTATAAATATCGGCCCACTACCACCACTGGGTACCACTGCTAGAGTCTACAGTGTCGCCATCTCTTCCAACCAACCGGCGGTGAAGAACTAACATATCCGGAGCACGTGCTTATTAAAACGATCAAGAACGCTGTGGACAATCAGGACTTCAACGGGAAAACATTGTTGAAAACGTTATATTGTTGTCACATTATTATCACAGCACGACAATTGGCAGGAAATGCGTACAGTAAACACCAACGTACAACATTCAACAAATTTCTTAACCGCTACCATTGAGACGTGATCGGACTTTTTAGAACTCGAGTGCTTTCTTAAGTTTTTAATTTGTTACTTTTCGGCATGGTTAAGTCGACATGGAAAACGAAGAACGAATTTCGTACAATTATAGACAAACGACTGATATATAGGACTATCAAAAAACTTAGTTCCGATTGAACGCCATGGATAACGGAACCAATCCAACAGTCCAACAGGTAATTTTTTAAATAATTACTGATAAATATTGTTAATTATATATATATTATTAATAAATAATTTGATTTTAAAAAATGAAATTATATACATGACAAAAACTAAATTTTCCAATATCAAACGAAAATGATAAATGAGTAAATGAGTAGAATTAGTAAATGTATGAAAAATGTCAATGATATTCAATGAAAATAAGTATAAAATACAATTCTTAATGGCTAACTGAAGTGTACAGAAATAGCTCAACTAAAAATTTTAATGATGGAAAAATCTTTGTAACTTTTAAAACAAGATTTTTCATAATAATTTTCTTCAGAATTGTATTTATATAAAGAACACAACTTTTAAGTAATATAATAAAATAATAACTCAAATTTTTCAAACTTTCATTGATAAATGTTGAATGTTAAAAATATTCAAATACGAACCAAAAAATCTAATAGAGTAATTCAATACCTCAATCCTTTTTAAGTATCAATATATTTATACTTTTTGAAGATATTTATACAAATAATAACTAAAACAAAATAAATTATTATGATGGAATTGCGAAGAGCATCTTTTACTTCCATAATTATTTATTCTTTTTTCAAATAAAAGAAAGGAAATGAAAATAAACAAATAAAAATCTTTTAAATTATAACCATTTTATTATTCAGTTCACAAATATTTACAGTACTCAAATAATAACTTTTCTCGTAATATTTAAGTATGTATGCTTGTTTGCAATGAATATATCTTTTTTTTTAAAAAAATTCTCAAAATATAGTAGAGCAATTCATTTTTGATAATTGAATATTAAATTGTATCTGAATTTACAACAAATTTGACGTTAAATTTTTTTTAAAGAAATTTTAAATTTAACTTCTTCATATTATAATTAATAATTTTGTAAAATTCATTGTAACATAATTTTACTATAAAAATAATGTAGCACTATTATCTTTTCGACGGAGAAAGTTTAAAGTTTTGATTTATCAAAATAAAGTTAAGTAGACCAAGCAATTAATTAAAAATTCTATTTGTAGTGGTAAAATGAATACTCAGTTTGAGTTGTCAAATTGTGAACTAGTATGGTACTACAGAAATTACTCGACATTACAAATATTATTATATAATAATATTTGTAATGTAATAATTATTAGAAATATTAATAAAGCGATAATATTTTTTGTCGATTTCAAAATATATCAATTGATCTGTAAATAAAAATATTAATATCTACGCATTTATTTATTTCATTTATCTTCTGTGTCTGACTAATTTCTCAATTGAATGATACAAATTTAATGACTTTAAATATAATGATTCAATTATAAATTAAATTAATCAATTAATTTTTATTTGTGAAATGGCTTTAGATTTTAAGGGAATTTAATTAACTAAAATGATCTTCAAGGCTCTTTTGTATAACATTCATTAATAGAATTTCACATTTTTTTTTTATAAATAAAATTACTTAAAAAAAAAACATAAAAGCTAATATTGTTTCATTCAAAATGATATATTAATTATTTTTCCGGGATCGAAAAATGAATACTAATATATTTTGTTTAACCGATAAAACACACGGTCATGTTTCAGATGACTATGGACTGGTTCGACTACACGACAATGGCATTAAAAGCTTCCATCATGGGCATAATCATCTTAACTTCGATTGGAGGAAACCTACTAGTAATTGTGTCTGTGGCCAGACACCCTCGACTCAGAGTGATCACCAACTACTTCGTCGTGTCACTGGCGTTCGCTGACATGTTGGTCGCCATAGTCGTTATGACTTTTAACGCCAGCAAACAGATAAGCGGAAAGTGGATGTTTGGCTATGTAATGTGCGACGTGTGGAACTCCAGCGATGTTTACTTTTCTACCGCGTCAATATTACATCTTTGCTGCATTAGCGTGGACAGGTACTATGCTATTGTAAAGCCGCTCATATATCCGGTACTAGTCACTAAGCGGCTAGTGGCGTATTTGTTGCTCATCACGTGGCTGGCACCTGCCGTCATAGCGTTTGTGCCAATATTCTTTGGATGGTATACCACGGAAAGTTACTTGATACACCGCAAATTTCATCCAGAGGACTGTGAATGGGTGGTGAGTAATTTACAGTAAAGGACTATGCGCGACATGGGTTTTTATACGATTTTTGTGTTGAATCATTTCTATTTCATTTCACATCGAGTAATAATAACATAATCAAAATTATTTTCCAAAACAGTCAAAGTACCTAAAGACGCGCCACATGTGTTATGCTGTCCGTTTAATATCAACATCAACACGTTGAGTTGTTATATTCGTATAAAGTCTAACAAAAATATGTGTTGTTTTTGTAAATTGTTTTTCGAAATTCGAAATATTAAATAATATTAGTATTTATTTACTTTAACGCTTTCTGAAGCTCTATAAGTATAGCTACAAGCACTTCCGCCGATTTAATGCGTTTAAATCAAAGGTACTTAAGCTAATATTAAGCTTTAAATTCTATTCAGAATATCAGAACTTTTGTTTAAATAATGTTTAAAGACATTAGAAAACTGTTGAGCTTTGGTCGGTGAGGATTTTAAGTAGATCGATAAAAATAAAAACTTTGTGCTGAAAAACAACTGTAATAAATAAATGTTCTACCAACGTTTACTCGCATATAAGAAGAAGGCGCCGGAATAACTAAATGTATTAAATGCATGCAGTTTAGAGCACTCAGAACCATTGCCATCTGAAGGCATTTCTATTTTTAGTTTTTTTTTTTTAACTTATTTATAATGAATCGTATAAGAACATTTTTAAAAGTTTGAAATAACAATAAAAATTCATCAGTGTTGTTCGATACGACATGAGTATTTAGTTATTTTATCACTTAGGGGTCGAGAAAATGTCAGTGGGTAGTGTCAGTAAAAAAAATATGTATACTCTCAATATTATTTTTTTTTTTCACGTGTTGAATCATTTGTGAAATTGTCAAATGTAAAAATGATTTTCCGTTTACTTTTAGGTAAATAAGATATACGTCATCGTTTCTTCGTTAATATCTTTTTGGATTCCTTGTACGATTATGTTATTTACGTACCATGCAATATTCAAGGAAGCCAACCGGCAGGAGAAGCAAATACACGCGAGAATCAGCTGTGGGCACCAGATGAACTACATCCGAGAGATGGAGAATCGAGAAAACCAGTTACGGCCAAACGGCGCTGTAAACGGATCGTCGTCCAGGACGACATTGGCGCCGCACGATTCGCATTCCACACCGTCTAGGGACAATAGGAATATCATCAAAATGAAACGGGAACACAAAGCCGCCCGAACGTTGGGAATAATCATGGGAACATTTATTGTTTGCTGGTTGCCTTTCTTCCTATGGTAACGTAATCTTAAATGTCTTTCGGTCGCCACAGATAATTTTCGTACGCACATATTTCCTGTCTGTTATCATTCGATTTCGAGTACAGAATGTCTTCAAGAGTATAAGATAAAGTTCAATTATTTCATTTCGAAAGTTGTTCGTGTCCACTTTGATTAACGCAAACAAATATACTTCTATCCCCTCGATAACAATTTTCGAACCGTCTTTTTTTAAGTATTTTTATATCGTAGACTTTTTATCTTTGAGATAAAAATAAATAGACCCCGGCGAACACTCGCCAACCTTTATTTTTAAGTGTTAATAACTTTCGAAATACTGTCGCAACGTTGTTTTCTTCCAGTCATTTTCTGATATGTTGGCCAGTTGTGCACGTATGTTTCTGTTTAAAAAACCATAGTCAATACAACGTTAAAAGGATAGACGCGATTGAACTATATGCTTTTTGTGTTAATCAAAGTGGATAGGATACTAACTTTCGAAAAGAAAACATTATTATTTATCTTATACTCTTGAAGATATTATGCGAGATCATAGTAAGCTGATCATTATTAATAATAAAAAAAAAAAAACAAGAATATTCCAAGTACATTTTATATAGTAGAATCTTTCGATTTAAATAATAGCAAAACAAATGCGTAGTTTAAAAGTACATTTTTATGATTTATCGGACGCAAACTATTCGGTTTGATTAAAATTCCCAATATGAATTAATTGAATTAGATTAATATGTAAAATCATTTCTGAAGTTTAAATGAGTTTAGATAAAACGTTCTAACAAACTCTATTGTTCAAGTTAAAATAGAATTTTCACTGATTTTTAATAACTTTATGATGATTAATTGGAGCTAAATTTTAGTTTATGTTATATATTCATAGAGGAACTATGCCAGAAAAAATGATAAATCTATAATCTGCAATCAAAAATAAATTATATGCATTAAAAAGAAATATGTCGCAAAAAATAACTTGATTTAATTACACGTTACTTATTATTATAATATTATGCGTAATCTTTTTATCGTGAAGTTTTTTATTTATTGTCTACATAAATTGAATATTTTAAATCAACTCAAAAGAAATTTCTCATAATTAAATTTCATTGAAACCTCCATAGAAAACAGTTGTAGTTATTTATTTAAATACAAGCTTTGACAATCAAAAATTATTAGCTAAATGTTTTCATTACAAACATAACAATAAAGAAAAAATAAAAATTGCTGTCGTCGCATGAATCGAATACAAGTAATTTAATTTAACAGGATTCTATATAATACAGAGATTTTTTTAAACATTAGTATGTTATACAGTGATATAAATAAACGTTCTAAAACTTTTAAAATAAAATTTTTACTAATGTACACGAATAACAAATCAAAAGTTGAAAACACTGGCGAGTTGCATTTAGTTTGATTAAAACTTTATTAAATTCGATTGTAAAATAAATTTTTTATTTACTTAAAAAAATTTATGAGTATCCATTTTAAATAAATGGTTTGAGAAAGTCAATTGTCATAGTTACTGCATGAAACAAATAACATTTCATATCAATCTAATTGGAGCATTTAATAAGTAGAAAACTTTTGTAATTTGAAACTATAATTATTGCATAATGATTGTTATTATACTTGAAATTCTATAATATTGAACATTATGGTATTGGTGTATATAAATAGCAGTATTTAAATATTAAAACATTTCTCACAGACATAAAATCAAATTGCCAGTGTTTACGTACTCCGCGCGTGTAAACGATAAACTGAAAACTAAAAAAACAACCATGTTTTATTTATGAGCTACTGAATTTCACGTTTAGAAATTAAATTTAGATTTAATTAATTTAAAAATAAAATTGTACTTTATAATTGCCTTTTCGTAGAAAAAAAACAATTTTCCAAAAAAAATCTATTGAATTAATTTTTTGTCAAATCAAAAATAAATACATCATAATTATTAGAAAACAGATGAAACGCTAATAAAAACAACGGTGTCTGTTTGTTGGTTTAGGTACGTAATAACCACTCTGTGTGGGGAAGCGTGCAACGTCTCATCATCAGTAGTAGCTGTGCTGTTCTGGATTGGTTACTTCAACTCGACGCTCAACCCACTGATATACGCTTACTTCAACCGCGACTTCAGAGAAGCGTTCAAAAACACACTGCGTTGTACGTTCTGCAACCTCTGCCGGAGTCCTCCGTCCGACCTGGAAGCGCTGGACGCCCGACGGCCTTCGCTGCGGTACGACGACCGTACCCGGAGCGTCTACTCCGAGACTTACCTGAACCACGGCGACAGACGTCGGTCGAGTCAGTTCGGCAGCAGCTTATGATCCGCGATGGTCCGGTCGCGGCCTCAAGTCTAGTCTATCGTTTCCCCCGACGTCCAACACGACCCCGTCCCCAACGATTACCTCAAATGTTAGTCTACTCGCCAAAACACACCAACAACGTTGCCGAGACGTTGTCGACCCACACGAACCCCTCCAAGTGTACATAAAAATAATATATTATTGTTGTTTAGAGCGGTTTCAACAGAAACACTCTGTGCAACCTAAACGCAAACAACAACCGCGTTGTAATTTTATTTATACTACTATTGCTGTTTTACTACGGAACTTAAAATGTTTTTATTTTATTTTTTGTTTTTAAGTGTTTGTAATAGCTTTTCTAATGACTAGATGTATTTTACATGTAGTTTTTAATGCTTGTTATTGTAAAGTATCCCCAACCACAACAATATAAACGTCAGCAGTGACAAAACTCGGTGATAACGTTTGCCTTGTGTTTAACCCAACCGACCGTGTAAGTCTAAAGACCTATCGATGCGTAAGCCGTGTAAGTTCTGTTTAATCTATTAAAGGAATCACGACTGTCGCATACTTACTTGGGCGAACCAGAGTTTAATCGGAAAACTCATTAGTGAAAATAACGTGTCAAACGGTAAATCATCATTAGTCTATGCGCTCAACATTTTCTTTCCACGAACCACTAGAGCAGGCAATGAAAAATATGTTGTAATTAAAATGACCTCAGTAAAGATCGTGTTAAAAAATCCGTTTTAACGTTGTAGGGGCATCATGCAATCTTTTTATCGAAATTTCCAAAGACTGAGTCTTAATATGCAGTACATAACTTTACATGGATTAGTTAATGTATGTTGTATTTGTACTAGACACAACATATACGTATACTATTTACCTATGGAATTGGTAAATTATCGATTTTAGAGACAAGTGTCAGTCATTGCACATTGTTCTTAGTCCAAACCTGTCACTAACTTTGATTTAATAATGTTTTTTTAATATGACAGTACATAAAATTTATGTTCATCGACTTATAAAGTTCAAAAAAATGTTGATATTTCAAAATGTCGAAAATATTTTCGCTAATTTTTCAATTTCAATTTTCTGTATATGTTACAGCTTAATATGTTGTATGATTCAAATATAAAATAATAATAACGTTATAGATATGAGATTATAACTTTTTAATATCAAAAATATAGCAATAAGTTAAAATAATACTAATCGATGAAAAGTTTATCACAAAACAATTTTCATTGGTTAGCATTATTTTATCATTAAATTGACTTCCACAATGTATACGTACGTTCAATTATTCGTACATTCAAATATATTACTGCATAGGTAAATATTTATAAAATAACAAATTAATTACATTAAAATCAGATTCTAAAACAAAAAAATATTCTAATTTAAAAAACAAAATTTTATCTTACACGAGCAGAAACAAATATATGTCCTCATTTTAAAAATTATTAATTAACGCGTTTTTTATATATAATTTAATGATGTTAAAAAAGAGTTGTGCAAAATTAGGGGCTTATCCGTCGAGGTTAACCGTTTTTATTGACCTGTAATTTGAGTTTGATGGGAATTATTTAGGAAAAAAATAGCTGTATTTACACTGTAAATATTTTTAGGTTGAACTCATAGTTATGAAATTAATACCAATAGATAGACAATTTTTTAGATAGTTTCAAAGTATCATTATTTTAACTTTTTGCGTAACAAATAACCGGTTAAAATACAATTATGAAAAAATATATAAATTAAGTTCCGAAATTCGGAAAAATTGTAATTTTATTTTTATAAGTCTTATTTAAGTACAGATATTTGTAAGATTAACCAAAATTAATATTCTCGAACTCCCCAAGTAGTTATTACCAGATAAATATCAGTTTATTGGTAGCAATTGTATAACCATGACGTTTATCCAAAAATACTTATTTTTATTTTTCAATATTTTTTTTCTGAAAAATTACCATCAAATTCTAAGATCAATGAAAATGGTGAAACTTGATAGAAAAGCCCTAATTTTCGAACAACTCTTTTTTGTCATCAATTTATGTAAGAAATGTGTTAAAAAATTAGTTATGATTTATATTATCGCTTGATTAGAATTAGTAGTTCTTTCAAAAACTAGATGTGATCAAATAAACTATAGCCAAATTCGGAAGCAGCGTCGAAATTCCATACAGAATTCACCTAATTATATAGAAAGCAATATGGTTGAGGTTCCGTGTTATAAATGGAACTTTCACAACACATCTAATGAAATTATGATTTTTTTAATACTAACTATATTTAACATTGACACAATACTATTAAAAATTCAAATGCACTACTATAATAAATATTAGTTTCTAAAGTATGTACTAGACATTTACATATGTAAAAATGTAGTTTTAATTTTTTTTTTTCATGTACTGAAAAGTACTATTTTTAACAATAAAGAACTTTACGATATAGTTCATAATTTAGTAAATTTTCTACATTTTATTAATACCATATAATAAAATGAATTAATCATTTTATTTTATGTCACAATTATTAAATTTAAATAAATTTTTTCATAGGAATTAATACTGATAATGCATATACTAATATTTTATTAATGTTCTGATGTTAATTCATTAGCTTATGTTTTGCGAATTGGAAACCTATTGTTATGTCCATAACGAATCCCATTTAAAAAATTCAAAACCAATCTTCAATTTAATCAGTATAAATCATAGTGTTTACTTTTATTTTCAAGAAGCTTTTTATTTTTAAGAAGACGAAAATATACAAAACCAACAAAATAAAAAATCCTTTAAAATGCAAAGTTTTAAATCAAACAACTACTGAATTTTGGTGGACATCTTTATTAATTTTGCTAACTTATGTTTAATAAATCTTTCATTAAGAATAAAAATTAACAAAAAAGAACTTCATCATTCTACTTTTAATAAAATTCTAAATAATTATAATTAATTGGTTTACAGCAATATTTATGTGACTCGATTACAACAAGAAATATTTGATATAAATGATGTCTAGTCTTACTACACTACTCTGTCGGCTTACCAAATAAAAAACTATCTATAAAAATCAAATGTTATTAATAAATTATAAAAGCAATATACGTTTAATAAATTATCTATATTAACCTATAACAACCTGCGAATGTAAATATTTAATAATACATGAACGTTAGTAATAAAGTGCATTAATAATATATTTTATTGGAAATAAATAAAAGGTGCTATTTTATACGACAATGCGTCTATTTAATGTCTTTCCAACAATTGTTTGCTTGGATTAATAATATTATAGTATTAATAAAATATTGTAAATAATTTAATCTATTCAGTTTAATTTGTAAGGTTAATTATAGACAAAATATTTTTTATGTGCATGAAAAAGATATTGTATAAATTAGTAGTGTAGTCCAACACGTTACAAGCCTTTTGGAGAAGGCTTATAGGTCGAAAATGTAATAGAAGATTATTAAATGTTGAATTCTATGTAAAGAATAGTGGTCAGTTGTATCGGTAACAAGAATTCGACATTAAAAAGAAATATGTAATGACTAATTGTGCGTAGCAAATAAATAGCATTAGAACTGATTTAATGGTTTTTTCACTAATAAAATTATATAAATTATTAATTATTACTTTGTATAATTTCGATTAAAATTCGTATAAAAATGTTTGAACCAACTAAACAGTATTGGCGAGTATTACATATTAACTCGGTTCTATAATTTCGATTTCGGACTGACTTTATTATATAGAAAACATGTATAGCTTTAATATGTTGCAATAATATAGTTATAATTATGGATGTAAGTACAGCAAATAAAATAAAATACATAAATGGGTACTAAACGTGAAATTATACATCTCTAACGGTTTATTCTTAATTTTTTTGTTTTATGTTGCAACTATTGCTAGTTCCTCAAATATTGTTATTTCAATTGTCATTACTTATTATTACAAAATTTATTTTTTTTTTACGATAACAATATACTATTATAGTAGCTAAGCAAAAAAAAAGTTCAATTGTGTTATTAGTATATATATAGTATTATTTAGTTTGTTAATTCAGACACATTTTGTACCTGAAAGTCCTAAACAACTGTAAAAAATAGTATCACACAATCGCTATTATTGTTAATTTATAAATACATTTAAAACGTTATTACTGTAATATTAATGATACCCTAGTTAATTGTACAAATATTTGTTTAAAATTTATCAAAATTGATAACTTACCATTACTATTAATTATAGCATATTGAATTTAGTTATAACACAAGTACCTATACAACATTAACGACTGTCTAGACTATTTGTTTCTAACAAATTTATAAATAATATTCGCTTTGAAAATAAAAAAATTGTAAATATACTTAAAATTAATAAAACTCTGTATTGACCAATATTTTACGTATAATTTATTTATAAAAATAAGTGTAATGAAAAAAATTATTACAAGAGGTTTGGAGCAATTGTCTCATGTTAAATTTTATTTTGATAATATTTTGTTGAAATTACTTATTTTTAATTGCCATTTGACTAAAAAAAAAAACATTAATTGAATCTTTTATTCCTTTTTCTGTTTTTAAATGTCAAACACAGCTCTTTTAAAAATGTTCTGTGAAAAATAAGATAAAAATTAATTATTTTTAATAATAGTATTTTTAACTATAAGTAAGCGTAGAATTATTATATCTTATTGTCACTGGATATAAATTTCATTTTTTATCTAATTTACCATAGATTGTAGCGTCAAGCGTTTCAATTTTTGATGCTAAGACAAAAAATATCCTATTTTATGGGAATTTTTTTTTTTATTCGGTGTTACTTTTTCGTACAAACATTTTGCCAACATTCTTATGTTTTATTGCTCATTGTGTGAGAGCGGTAGTTTTGAGCAAATGAAAACTTTATTCACTGTCTGTAATATGAGAAAAAAATATTAGAGAGAAACAAAGCGTCCCTAGAGATAAAGAACTGACTTTTTTTATAAAAAAAAAAATTTAACCTTTTAGTAAAACAAAAAAAAAATGGTTTAAAAATACAATACGGAAAGGATATAAGAATATTCACTCCGTTCCAGAATAACAATCTTACTTTATAAACAAAATGACTTAATAATAATAATGATTTTTTTTAACATGAGCAATTTGTAAAAATTCTCTTAATTAATTACATCAATATTTGTAAAACTATATTATACTACACATTATTTAAGCAAAGCCATAGCTTTGTACAATATTAAAAAATTTCTTAACTCATAAATTTAATATTCAAATGGTAAAACTAAATTATTTTATAACTATGTTAAAAAAAATATTATTTTATTTGGTACAATGCAATTTAACATTTAATCCTGCATCTCATACTTGCTACATTATTTAATTTAATTTAGTTCTTGATCCTTTTAGTTTAATTAAAAAAAAATATTCAACATATAAATTTTCAGTAAATTTTACGTTTCAATTTTTGTTTATGTTTATAACATACCTAAGAAATATTGAAACAAATATTAAGTATAATATTATATAAAACGGCGCTTAATATATGCAAAATGAATGCACTAATGTTATTCTAGAACTTTAATAAAGAATAACTCGTTTGAAAATTAATGTATGTGGTTATAAAATAATAATCAATATAATAATAATTTATGGATATTACAGTGTCACGATAGATCTCAATAGGCTAATATTAATGATCCATATATTAAAGAAACCGGAATGCAATTTAATTAAACCCATAATCGCTAAAAATTAAAAAAAAAAACCTCTCAATTTCAGTAATTTAGAAAAATATCACTTTAAATAATGGAATTTCAAAAAATATTTTTTTCAATTTTTTTTAAAAACTTTAATCACAATAACTTTTTAACACATAATACTAGAGACAATAATCTTTTTTTTTTGATATGCTTTTAAATAAAATTTAATAAAAAACATAACAAAAGGAGGGATTTGGAAGAGACCATAGGAAAAAATTATTTTTCAACTCGGCTTTTGAAAGTATTTCAGATTTTTGCATTCTTTAAATGTAAACCAAATTAAAACTTATGATAAGAACTATAATATTAAAAAAAAAGTAAAGAAATCAGTCAGCGAGATATAAAAAAACAGGTATTGTGAGATAACGCATATAGTTTGACTAGCCTTTAATATTTAAGTGAAATTTTAAAACATATTTAAAATTAAAATTATTTTCAAAATATTAATTCAAAGCTAAAAAAATATTAAAGACATTTAATCTAAAAAGGTACAAAAAAAATTACTAAAAAAAAATTGCGGATACGATATTGGGTGCAATGGTAACATTATCAACACTGAAAATATAGTAAATGTAAAATTACAAATAGAAAATCAATTATAAAATTTAACAAATTGACATCAAAGCTTTTTATGATAGTGATGTTGATTATTGTCATTGTCAGTCATATTATATCTATTAAACGGTTGAAAGCTATACTGAAAATTCAAACCCATTCACTATTAAAAAAAAAATGTTATTAAGTTCAAAATATTTTTGATTATAATAACAAAATTGAAACTCTTCCATAATGGGAGAAATTCAAAAGTATTATATAACTAAATATTTCAAAACAAAAAAAGGAGAAGTAAACAACAAATTTTTTTTCATAATCGTTTTTAATCTGCGAGTTCATGAATGAGATATGATAAAAAAAAAATCAATGTGTATATAGCATTTTAAGTTAAAGACGATTTATCATTAAAAAGGTTAGAATTACAAAAATATAATAATTAACGTAACTTCTTAGGTATTTAAATTCCACAAACATTTCTATAAAATATTAAGTCTCAAAATAAATAGTGATTTATATAAGTATACTTAAAAAAAAAAACTAATATACTTAAATAATAAAATTAATTAACAATAATATTATACGAATTTTTTTTTAGAAAATAATTTGATTAAAAGTGATATACTTTATACAATTTTATCATAAATGTAGTATTTTTCTTGAAAAATATGAAAACTGAACATTTATTTATATATATCATTAAATCTAATGCGAGTAGTAATTGAGATAGAGAGCCCAAAATGACAAATAATTATTTTATCATCGTACTTAAAAAATTGGAATACTCATCTAAAATGAGTGTTTTGGACAACCCATCACATAAACATCGTTTATATTATAAATAAAAAATAAATTAGCCTCATAATTAGTTATAAATAAATTTACATCTAAAATAAATATACAAAAAACAAAACAATAATTAAAAGCTGAACAAATAATAACATTATTTTTTTTTAAAATTAATTGTTTACATTTAAATGTCAACATTAAGATACTAAGTATAAATCATTATCGGTAATTTTAAACTTAAAAAGTACTAAAAAAATTATACTGTAAAAACATTTAAACATTTAAAACACATATGTATGATTGATCATTATATGATTTTATCGATATCAATAAAATATCGTTATACATTGGAACAAGTATAAAAAATTCAAAAATAAATTACTTAATGAAATACCGTTGAAGAATAATGGAAACAAGTTTATTCTTAAACATCAAATAACAATTGATCAAAGATGAATAAATAATGTTTCAAGATCAGACATCATTCGATATTATTGTTTGTTAGATAAATTTTGACAAAGTTATAAGTGATATGGATCAATAATCAAAAAAATATATCTAAGTTCACATATGAATAAATGGAATGTTAACGTGAAAAACTTAAAAATTAAATTCATATATTTAAAATAGCAATTATGACAATCTGCTTTAATGTTATTTAAAATAAAAATGATCTATATAATTATTCAGACTGATAAAGCAATGATAAAACATGCTCAAGACTTCTAAATTCAAGGGAAATAATTATTTCAAACAATTATTCTTTTTAAAATAATTATTTTTTTTGTTTTACTTCAATTTACGAATGTTTAACTGATAAATAGAAAATATTCTAAAACGTATTTTTTTCTTTCAAAATCGTTATTTTTTTTTTATTAATTAAATAATGTAAAACAAATAAATAATGCATTCTTGTACGTTATATTATTCATATGACTATATTTTAATTAGATTTTACATAATATATTTGTTTTATATTTATTTGAATCATATTAAACTAAATGGTTTTTAGAAATAAAAATAAACAATTTAAGTATAATTAAATTAGCAAATGTAAATAAAATATTTGAGATAATTCCAAAGTTGGGCTTGAATTATTTTCTAAAATGTATAGTTCTTAAGTAAACTTTAGAATTGGAAATTATTAGATTATCTCTAAGAATTTTTAAAATTTGTTTTAAATATATACAGATTTTTAAATTTTACACAAAAATGTTCATTAAATTATTATCATATCATTTTAATAATTAGTATAATTATAACTAATAATTTGATTGTTGATTGTTAATTAACACAATATTAATTTTGCGGTATAAATTTAAAAAGTTTTGCTTACATCTTACTAACATGACCTTTTATGTTTTTATTATTGTTAAACGAGTTATATTTTGAAGAATTATATTTTTGAAATATTTACAATTTTTTTTATTTATAAATTAAACAACCATAAATTTAAGTAAAACAAAAGAAATTAATGGTGAAAAATTGTTTTATTTTTTATCTTGAAAATAATTATTTCACTAAAATTTATTGCTTTATCAGTCTCAATTATTATTGTTAATTATAAATTAAATTCAAATAACATTACATATAAATTGGCGATATCTCTGTTTGAAATTTATATATTCGATTTTTAAGAACCATGTTAACATTTAAGTCATTAACGCATAAACTTAAATCTATTATATCTTCTCGAACATTGATTCATAATACTTAACAAATAATTAACAGCATTGAATGGTGTATATCTTATTCTGGAATTCCATTCATCTTTTTGTGATAGCTACTTGTGAGGATAAGTTCTGTTAAAATTAAGATTTATTATTTAATATGTTTAATAATATTTGCCCGAAAATTAAATAGTCTGAAGCAAAAAATATTTTTCATGACACAAAAAGTTTAGTTTATCTCATATTAAATTAAAATTATAAGCTATAAGCAAAGTTTGTTTATAAAGTCTATTACATATAATTTAACAGAATTTATCCTAAAATATGAATAAGAACCAATTTTTATCTCTTGCATACACAAAAATAATGGTTAATATAATATACAGTTTAATAAAAAATAATAAATATACCCTAAACAATGTGATTAAGATATTTATTGTCATGACTAATATAATGATTATTAATAAATTCATCTGGGAATTCAGAGTAACAATTTTTTACTGCAGGAAATTGTCTTCTAGGAGGTTTTTTATTATTTTCTGGCAATGTGCTATCCGTTACTAATTTTTTACTTTTATATCGCCGATTTTGAAACCATATTTTTACTTGAGTAGGAGTCAGTCTAATTCTTGATGCCATAACTTCTCTCTCAGCCGCTGACAAATAGCGTTGCTGCTTAAAGCGAAGTTCTAATTCTGATATTACTTCCTAAAAATATAACTACTTTTAATATAAATGTTATACATATAAGTTGTTACATAAAGAGTCATTAATGGCTAATAAGTTTTTTATACTATTAAATTGTGCGTCAATTTAATACAATTTTTAGGACAATCGTAAATTTAGTAAAAATGTGTCCTTGAAATGTGTTTATATTAAAATATTTCTGATTAAAATGCTGAAAAGTTTCAATTAATTATTTCTAGATAAAAATTATAATCTAGCGCTAACACATTCGTAATTATAATCTGATTTTGTCACAAGTCACTTAATTCTATAAAATACGCCTTTCTGAAGAATTACTACTATTGTTTATGATTAACACTTTGGTTTATTACTCTGTATGTGAATAATATGAGCTATTATACATCATAATGAAATACAAGATTTTTTACAAAGTTGAACATTTTCAACACTGGTAGGATAATATACGATTAAAAAAAAAACAATTTTTAAATATCTTTTTAACCTGTGAAAATAATATCCTTGGTTTTCGTTTAGCTCTTTTTTTGGTCGATGTTTTAGGCGGAGCTGTTTTTTTTGTACTGTTCATATTTTCTCTAAATCTTTCTTCTCGCGACGTTTCTAAAAAAAAATAACTAATGAAGTTCATAGTACTTACACATTTTTAAATCATAAATAAGTTATCAAATAAACAATAGTAACAAACACCATAGATATAATTAGGATTTTAGCATTTATATGGTTTAGGCATATTCATAGCACTATTTAAAAATCGTGTGACTTAATTACAAATTGCAAAATCGACTTGAAAATAGCCTTCCCTGCTAAAATATTATGTATTGGATGAAATTCTTCTAAAACATTGAACATTGGACACATAATAAGAAAAATAGAAATACAAAAAGTGAAGACAGATATATTTGTGGTAAATTTACAAAATTGCAAACTCGACATCAGTCATTTCAAAATATATTGTTTAGCATATTTTTAGAAATATATGAATAATGTGAGTTTTTACGTTTAGTTTCATGGATTATATCCAATAGATAATAAGTTCGGATAATCTTAATTTCTTCTACTCTTAAAAAATATTCCTATACAAATTTATAGAGGTATATCTTTAAAAATGCAAATACACGTAAACATGTTATTTTGAAAATTATTTTGCTTTCCGAATATAAAGGATTGTTGTAAAATTATTGTGCAATTTTATGATTGTTATAGAATAATGGAAAATATTCATAAATAACAAAGTTAATTTTACTATTTCCCTAAGATGCTAAATTTGCAAAAATAAAAATAATTGTTATAAACAAGATTTAAAGGTTAACACAGGCAATATTTACTACCCTCGAACAAAAAACATCTTGACCACATAAATTTTTACAACGTACGCAGAAATCTAAAAGAATAACGTGTATTAGTGTTTGCAATTATAATAACTAATTTTAATGGAAAACACACTTTTGAACTTAAAATCTAAATCAACAAAGTCACACATTTCGGTACAACTACTTACTAAATATCTGATCATCCAAATCAGTTTGAAATGGCGCCGAAAATGGTTCATTGGATGGTATTTGATGGGAAAACGGGCGTGGGGGTCGAGAATCAGGTTCATCTATTGTCGACGAATCAATGGAAATCGGTGCCCAGCCACAGCTATACGGCTGCGTTGTCATATCAGCAATAGTTGGTGATAATACATTTGAACCTTGTGGCCAACTGTTATATGACGAAGTAGTATCGTAAGAACCATCTCCATAATATCCTCCACAATAAGCTTCATAGCCTTCGTAACAATATGGATCAGTGAGCACCACATCGTCTTCGTGTTTTATACCGGCTGTTTGGTGCAAGTTATGGTTGTACTGGTGGTATTCAAAATTTGTATAACTTGGTGCACATTCAGCATACAAACAATCAAGATCAGTCATTTCCATTCCAATGTCTTCGATTAACCTACACGACATAATGACTACACGTTGGCTCGAAATTATCGTTACTATCGACTAAGATCGTAAGGTTATTAAAGAACACTCTTAGCAATATATTCATCTCTGATGAATACCCAGTAGATGGATACATCTAAATGGGATTTGGACCACCGACATGGCCCGCCCAAAAATCAGTCGCGGTCGACCAATGAAAACCCGAGCAGATGGCTGTACGTCTCCTCCTCTGGATTTTGCCTATTTGATAAAAGATCACAGAGAAATCCATAGAACTATTCAAATATATTATAGGAAATAACATTAAACAGTTATAAACAATATCGTTTTTCAACAGTAATATTTTTACGTTTCACAACGATACGCCAATGAATGAAATACTCACTTAAAACACTGAACCTTAATTTCTGCTACAATTTTGAAATGATCAAGGTAGTTATAGAAATTACTTAAAAGTGCACGGAAGTCTAATATATTCTTTAAATAAAAATAGTTAATTAAATCAATTAATTGACTCTCGATTGAGTTAAAATTAAAAGAAATCCGATTTTGAAGTGTTTCATTTTTTTATTTGTTTGATTAGAAATTTTAAAAAGTAATTTAAACAATACTAAAAAAAGTCAAGTAAAAATTATTTTACTATTGAAAATAACCAAGTCCAATTAAAATATAATTTTTAATTTTAATATAATATTCTTTTTTTAAACACCAATGGTAATTTCGATTTATTTTGGATTCTTTTAAAAAATTGATTTAGTTAGCTATTAGAAAACACCTACAAATAATATTGTAGTACATTTAAAATTAAACTCTACAATAGTTAGTTTTTTTTAATCGTACGAATAATATACTACGTTATAGTACACTTCATATCGTAGAAAGTTTTCATATGATTTTATGTATGACGTACAATTGAAGGGATTGGTGCAATGACCAGATAAGTCCATTTTTTTTAATTTTGTAGGAAAAGACATTTTTAATATCATTAGAAGTTCAAATATATTAAAGCATTTGAGATATAAACTTCGACAAATATTAACTTATTATACAAAAATATATATTTTTACTAAAATCACAATTTTTAATTACGTTAGAATGAGTTAATCTGAAAGTAACAAATTTCATTGATTCTTGTGTTTTTTTCCTAAATAATAGAAACGATAATGAATGCATATTATATATAACATACATTAACTGAAATTTTAATGTTCTTAAAGTAACTATAATTATCTTAATACTATGATGAAGTCATCTCATTAATATTGTTAAAAAGAAATAGGTTAAATTCAGACTGCACGTCCACTACTGGCGACTGATAATTTGAAAATTAAAAAAAAAGTGCAACTATGCATTGATAAAAAACTACTTAAACCCATCTAACCTGGCCATAGTGGTCGTCAGTCGACTGCAGTTCACACCTTAAGATTCATTGTCAAACATCAGTTTCTGCACACTGTTGTCGCTGTCAGTGTTTCAACAGTTTTTTTGTATATTCTTGACGCCTTTTCTTAACTTAGATCATCTCCTACCTAACTCAGGTACTTGAATTTTGCGCTTCGTCTGCACCTTATATTTCGCACCCTCCCCAGTTCAATTGAAGTACTCGTATTTAGCACCTCATTATCGCTTCCTAAGTTCGGGCTACTTGTGTCTTACACTTTGTGTTCTGCACATAATTCATTGGTGTTACTCTCTAATCCTTCTTATAACAACAGCTCTTCGACACCCTCGAAAGTGTCAACGGAGCATATTGTGATCACCAACATTTGGTTCGCACTATACACGTATTTTTTTCATATTTATTTTGTTTTGAAACAATATGAGTATCGGATCGTATGATTTTAAAAGTTCAATAACATTGAATCAATAAACGACAATAGAATTAGTAATAGTAATTATAATTATTTCTATAAATTTGAACGACTGTATATGTTAAGTTGTGTAGCTATTTTTTAATTTTTATTTAAACATACTACCTCTTTGTATTTTGTCAATTAAAATAAGCGAGTGGATTTTAATTACGACAATGATTTTGTTTTTACAATTTTAACAGTGTTAGACTCTATATACAATATATATTTGTTAAAGTATGACGAGTACTGATGATTTTTTCATTTTAATCTTCATTTATCCGTGTATTGAAGAAGTTACATTAAGTCTCGCTTTATTTCATATTTAGTCATTGACGTTATATGCGTAAAATGAATCATTTGAAAACCAAAATTATTAGTTTATGATCGAGAGTTAAACTTTTTTCTTTGCTCCAATTCCATAACCGTTTGGCTTTGTCGGGATTTTATAATGATAATTTTACCGTTTGGCTAACTTTATGTAAATTTTCTCATGACCAACAATGAAAATTAGTAAAAATAATTTTGTATACAGAGTGGCCCACCACTCACTGACAACTTAAATAACTTTTGATCCAGTTAATATTTTTAGTTGATTTTTTTTTTA